AATGTACCACTCGGTGCTAAATCTTGTGTCTCCGCTGTCTATATGACACAATGCTATGTTAATTACCAGCATACATATAACTGTAAACAATTTCGAGGAGGCTAAATTTGCCGTGTTGTCAACCATTAATATGAATTTATACACATTAATAGTAACATATAAACATTTGGATGTTCAGCATAGCCTATTACGAACGAGAAATAATCATTTGCAATCTTGATGGCATTTACAAAACGTTTAACAAAAGCGAACATCGTGATTTTTCCTGAAAAATTCAAATTTACATGCCAGGAATACATATGCCAACGGTCATTGGGAGGATCATTGCTATCCCCGGAACGCCAACGTCCGGTGTTACAGCTCTCCCCGACATGGAACTAAATGCCACCGAACCCGTAACCAGCATCCTGGTCATGGTCAGCTCAGAGATCACGATGGGACGCGACAAATGGCGGCCCTGCCATATTTCCTCCGACATGCACTAATCGCGTTTCATCATGTGCACAAATGCCAAAATGGTTTGTAGATGTCTCTTTGATATTCTCGTTTAAACAGGGAGATAACAAAGTTAAACAACGGCATAATTTGCGTTACGAATCTGACGATGGCCATGAACAACTCACAGAACTCATTCTTTGAGAGGTTTCAGGTTCAATTGTCTGGAGTCTCCACAATATTATTTTGAAAAGGTTCCCACGTTTTTATTTTTTTATATTCATAAATATGGCCCACCTGGTATATGCGATTCGACATGGTGCAACACGTAATTATTTGTGTAATTATCGACGACCATGGGTGTTTCATAGTTCTTTTTGATTGAGTGTAAATTAATCAAATCAATTACGAACCCTCGTTACATGTCTCACCAACACCCACACAGGTCACTGAATTTGCGACACCATGCACTAATGTTGTTATAATTGTTAACACCGGGTGTCTATTGACTTACTATATATGCCCTATCAATGGTGTCAACTGGGGTCCAGCACATGGACAGTGTTCATTTAGAACAGATTTCTGAACTTGCTTCACATTACCATACTATGTAAACCATTATTCCCGGATTCAAAGAGAGAAGAAATGATGTACTGAATTTCATTTTTATTTCACCTAAGAATACATATATTCTAGAAAAGTAACAAACATTGTACCTTCTCTCGCTGGTCTGAAACCAAAATTGAATTACAATTACCAATTACATAAATTTATTGCTACTCTCACTGCAAATACGACACTTTTGTTACATTTTGGTCGTCTTGCCACAATCTATTTACTTAGATAATGACTGCAATGTGACTTGCTATGTAATACAACACTTATGATGACCTGTTAAACGTGTATATAATGACGTACCCAGATCAAAAAGAAATAAAAGTGAAAAAAAGAAAGAAAGTACTATGTAAAGTGAAAACATTGTCGTACATGCTTCAGATAAACACTTAGTACTTCACAGTCCAGATTATCCCAGCGCCAGGAGGCTGCAGTTGTTCTGCCTTGGTCATTTCATGTATACTGTCGGCAAGATAAAGGCAGGAAACGGTGGCATTTTTTGTTGGAGATGCGCTTCATGGAGACAAAAAACATGAGAACTACCAGCTATATTCCTACGCAAGAAGGAGTGCACTTCTTTTCGGTCCACGCCCGGCTATGACATCAACATATTTGGGTTGACAAAGCAAAGTATATAGGCGTTCTCATGAATTTGCACCATTCAGAATATGTTCATTTCATGTTTCAGTTTGAACAGAAAGTTATAAATATTACAGATACTGTCGGCCTTTCGTTGTGTTTTGCATGGTTGTGGGAAAAACCATATTAACATGACACGTTAAAACTTAAAAAAACAGGTATATTTTTAAGTACATTTGGAGTGGTCGTTACAGTAGTCGTCTGGACTTTATCTACATATTAGTAATTGTTGTAGCAGTAGTAGTTGTCGTTACAGTAGTCGTCTGGACTTTATCTACATATTAGTAATTGTTGTAGCAGTAGAAGTTGTCGTTACAGTAGTCGTCTGGATTTTATCTACATATTAGTAATTGATGTAGCTGTTCTAGTTGTCGTTACAGTAGTCGTCTGGACTTTATCTACATATTAGTAATTGTTGTAGCAGTAGAAGTTGTCGTTACAGTAGTCGTCTGGGCTTTATCTACATATTAGTAATTGATGTAGCTGTTCTAGTTGTCGTTACAGTAGTCGTCTGGACTTTATGAATAAGTAATTGTTGTAGCAGTAGAAGTTGTCGTTACAGTAGTCGTCTGGACTTTATCTGCATATTAGTAATTGTTGTAGCAGTACTAGTTGTCGTTACAGTAGTCGGCTTGACTTTATCTATATATTAGTAATTAGTAATTGTTGTAGCAGTAGTAGTTGTCGTTAGGGTAGTCGTCTGGACTTCATCTACATATTAATTATTGTTGTAGCAGTAGTAGTTGTCGTTACAGTAGTCGTCTAGACTTTATGAATAAGTAATTGTTGTAGCAGTAGAAGTTGTCGTTACAGCAGTCGTATAGACTTTATCTACATATTAGTAATAGTTGTAGCAGTAGTAGTTGTCGTTACAATAGTCGTCTGGGCTTTAGGTACATATTAATAATTGTTGTAGCAGTAGTAGTTGTCGTTACAGTAGTCGTCTGGACTTTATCTACATATTAGTAATTGTTGTAGCAGTAGTAGTTGTCGTTACAGTAGTCGTGTCGACTTTATCTTCATATTAGTAATTGTTGTAGCAGTAGTAGTTATCGTTACAGTAGTCGTCTGGATTTTATCTACATATTAGTAATTGAAGTAGCTGTTCTAGTTGTCGTTACAGTAGTCGTCTGGACTTTATCTACATATTAGTGATTGTTGTAGCAGTAGTAGTTGTCGGTACAGTAGTCGTCTGGATTTTATCTAAATATTAGTAATTGATGTAGCTGTTGCAGTTGTTGTTACAGTAGACGTCTGGACTTTAGCTACATATTAGTAATTGTTGTAGCAGTAGTAGTTGTGGTTACAGTAGTCGTCTGGACTTTATCTACATATTAGTAATTGATGTAGCTGTTCTAGTTGTGGTTACAGTAGTCGTCTGGACTTTATCTACATAATATTAATTGTTGTAGCAGTAGTAGTTGTCGTTACAGTAGTCGTCTGGACTTTATCTACATATTGGTAATTGTTGTAGATGTACTAGTTGTCGTTACAGTAGTCGTCTGGATTTTATCTACATATTAGTAATTGATGTAGCTGTTCTAGTTATTGTTACAGTAGTCGTCTGGGCTTTATCTACATATTAGTAATTGTTGTAGCAGTACTACTTGTCGTTACAGTAGTCGTCTGGATTTTATCTACATATTAGTAATTGATGTAGCTGTTCTAGTTGTCGTTACAGTAGTCGTATAGACTTTATCTACATATTAGTAATAGTTGTAGCAGTAGTAGTTGTCGTTACAGTAGTCGTCTCGACCTTATCTACATATTAGTAATTGTTGTAGCAGTAGTAGTTGTCGTTACAGTAGTCGTATAGACTTTATCTACATATTAGTAATTGTTGTAGCAGTAGTAGTTGTCGTTACAGTAGTCGGCTTGACTTTATCAACATATTAGTAATTGTTGTAGCAGTAGTAGTTGTCGTTACAGTAGTCGTATAGACTTTATCTACATATTAGTAATTGTTGTAGCAGTAGTAGTTGTCGTTACAGTAGTCGGCTTGACTTTATCTACATATAAGTCATTATTGTAGCAGTAGTGTTGTCGTTATGTCGTCTGAGCTTTAGGTACATATTTGTAATTGTTGTAGCAGTAGTAGCTGTCGTTACAGTAGTCGTCTGGACTTTATCTACATATTAGTCATTATTGTAGCAGTAGTAGTTGTCGTTACAGTAGTCGTCTCGACCTTATCTACATATTAGTAATTGTTGTAGCAGTAGTAGTTGTCGTTACAGTAGTCGTCTCGACCTTATCTACATATTAGTAATTGTTGTAGCATGAGTAGTTGTCGTTACAGTAGTCGGCTAGACTTTATCTACATATAAGTCATTATTGTAGCAGTAGTGTTGTCGTTATGTCGTCTGAGCTTTAGGTACATATTTGTTATTGTTGTAGCAGTAGTAGCTGTCGTTACAGTAGTCGTCTCGACCTTATCTACATATTAGTAATTGTTGTAGCAGTAGTAGTTGTCGTTACAGTAGTCGTCTCGACTTTATCTACATATTAGTAATTGTTGTAGCAGTAGTAGTTGTCGTTACAGTAGTCGACTAGACTTTATCTACATATTAGTAATAGTTGTAGATGTACTAGTTGTCGTTACAGTAGTCGTCTGGACTTTATCTACATATTAGTAATTGTTGTAGCAGTAGAAGTTGTCGTTACAGTAGTCGTCTGGACGTTATGTATTAGTAATTGTTGTAGCTGTTGTAATGGTCGTTAGGGTAGTCGTCTGAGGGTAATAGCGTGTGTATGTGTGAGCTTGTGAATGTTACCGTGTGTGTTATTATGAAAGTGTTAGGGTGAGAGTGTTAGCGTGTGTGTGTGTTAGTGTATATGTGCGTGCATGTATGCATGTAAGTGTGCGTGCATGTATGCGTGCACCATGACAATGAGAGCTTATCCGCATCCTAAAGTTTATTATGTGTCAGTAGGGTTGTGGTATATTGTTTACAAATTCTTTAAAAAAAACGACAGGTATTATATAAAATAAGTGTGATTTTCTCATGAGTTACCAGTCAGATAGCATGTCCCAGGATCACACAAGACGTGCACCTTATAATTGAGGTCTTTGCACAATCATTAGTAGTAATAAAAATATGTATTAACCTTAAACACTACATCAATTACTTCAATCACTGAGTATATTATCGTCTTTAATAACAGTAATTTGTTATAATTGGGGTATCATAGCACGACGAAAGTTCATCGGTGTCAGAGAGAGTACTGTTCTCATGAACCAATAAGGGCTAACTGTTTGGTTTCAAACAAGCCATGTTGAGCCAATTACAGTCTCGAATCATGCGTAATCACGTGATCCGACAGAGTACGTGTGTGTATATATACACATGTAGTTGTAGGGACATAGTCTCATATTTTTGACAGACGTCCTTGCGAGAACACAACAGACAAAGGTAGGTTGCATCACAGCTTGTCAGTAACCAGCTTCATCATCTAACATAGCCCCACCTAACACATGATTTATAAAATTTAGTTTTCAATTTATCAGATCTTCTTGTAGTTTCAATTAAGATTCCTAATGGGGGACGTTTTGGGTTTTAAAGTTACATTTGGTTGTAATTGTAATGTCATGTTACGACTCGGTTGATGACAGTCCGCCATCGTATGTCATGCATACAGTATGAGCGGAGGGTGCAGAACATGATCACACTGTGTGCAAACACCTGATGCCATCACCGAGTTTCATGGATCCAGTCATATACGTGTTATCTCTGTGTGGTCCTTCTCATGGATCCATTCATATATGTGTTATCTCTGGGTGGTCATTCTCATGGATCCAGTCATATACGTGTTATCTCTGGGTGGTCATTCTCATGGATCCAGTCATATACGTGTTATCACTGTGTGGTCCTTCTCATGGATCCAGTCATATACGTGTTATCTCTGTGTGGTCCTTCTCATGGATCCATTCATATATGTGTTATCTCTGGGTGGTCATTCTCATGGATCCAGTCATATAAGTGTTATCACTGTGTGGTCCTTCTCATGGATCCCGTCATATACGTGTTATCTCTGGGTGGTCCTTCTCATGGATCCAGTCATATAAGTGTTATCACTGTGTGGTCCTTCTCATGGATCCAGTCATATACGTGTTATCACTGTGTGGTCCTTCTCATGGATCCAGTCATATACGTGTTATCACTGTGTGGTCCTAACTGAATCTGTTGGTTACTCGATACATATTCTCTGTCGCTGACGTTTTTTTATTTGCTCAAGGAAAATAGAATTTAGAATTTGCCAATATAGAGCAAGCACATAATGGTATTTCCCATAAAACATACATGTATAACTGTGTTTATGGTGTGACTGTGTAATCTAAATAAGATAAGTATGAAGTATTGGAGTCTGATTTCTAATTTATCTCACTGAGAACATTTGCTGCCCATCAATTCCTGCCGTAAGGAAGTAATGTATTCAGGAATTCTAACATAATCCATACTTTACATGAGGCTGTGATCTCGACTGGGGACTTGCTGTGAGTTCCAGTGGCATTCCAGTTCCATGATGTATTATTATGTCAATACATCCGGGGCCTGACCTTTGCACGTGCAATCCATCAGTGATTATGAACTGGACGATTTGACAATGCAATTGTATAGGAAATAGAAGGGAAAAAGACACTTAATTCACTTAACACTCAAATCAATAACTAAAATATATTAAAACGGGTTGGGGAAATTTAGAGTATCTTCCTCAGGTATACAGAGATTAAATCTTGATAGTGCATATTCAGTTATGGGAGGTGTATCTCTGTCTGGCCTATGGCATGGCTGGTGACGAGGGGAGTAGCCCCATCTCATCATGATGCCCGCTGATTGTCCCTTGACACACACACAATTTGAGACACTGGCTGAACGGAACTAGTCGCTGCAACTCCTCAGAGACTGAAAGAAAATTTTAAGTTCGTAAAGTCAGTAGATAAAACCTCTCTTCATTATCCTAACATTAAAACGCCATGAAACAGATTTCTTAATGTAGTACGGGTCTTGGCGATGGTGGTTAAGTTCGCTCGACAAGATGGTTTCCCGGTGTGAGAGGCCCAGATCAACCCCTGACTGGCTGCCACGTTGTTTGGGCCTGGGTTGAGATCACTCCCCGTTGGATCACAGCAATCAACTCTCGTAGCCCGGAATGAGTCCCGACGGGTCAAATCACTCTATTTAATATTGAAATGTCTGTGTTGGATTGGAAGTTTTGGCGTGTATAGCGTAGCTACCATTATAAAAAAAAGCCCGGGCTTACAGATGAATTTTGCTATGAAAGTTGGGCAAGCACTCAGATACCTAGATATAAAGCTTTGCAACCTATCGGTCTTACACGAAGCAAATGCCGAACTACGCGCCTGGTTTATATATATTGGTTTGAGGTTAGTGCTGTGGAGATGGTTTTGACACGTGTGCCCAACTACTCACTTCTAGACACATGCTTGTGATACAGTCAAGGTTAAACAATGGACATTTCAACAAGGTTTTTTATGATCTATGAAAGGTTGTGACGTATATATTTAGGAAACTGCACATTACTGAACCAGTAATACTTTTGTGTGACCTTTAATGTTTCTGGAGTATTACATTATTATTACCACATGGGAAATAGTTTAGAACAAATGGTGGTTTTCCAAGGGGGCTTGCGTGTTGAGTCGGTAAAAGTGTATTTCCCTTTACACTAAGATTAAATCGACAACCTCGCTGGCCTACTTAGCATCACAATTCCCGCTAATACGTTCTGTAAGAAACGTACATTTTACACATGTGGCAATAACAAGATCGTAGACTGCAAACCAGGGGCTGTATTTATAAAAATTCTTAGAGTGCTTAAGAATTCTTAACTATAAGAATTTCTAAGAATTATTTTAAAATAGGTTTCACGCTTATCTGTAAGAAATTTCTTAAGTCATATTTATAAAACATTTTATTCTTAGTTTTACATAGCACTCTCAGACACTTAAGAATTTTTCTGAACTCAACACAATGGCCGCCATTCAACGCCGACTCTGAGTTTTCCGCCCTAGAAAGGATGTATATACGACGTATACTGACGATGAACTAATCATGAGATTTCGTCTAGACAGTGGTGGCATTCGTTTCGTCACAGATCACATACGGAACGAATTAACCTCCCCAACGAAAAGAAATTTCTCCGTAGACGCCGACATCAAGGTAGCCATTACTCTTTGTTACCTTGCTACGGGTAAAATGCAAATGTGCAATGGTGACGACTTCGGTATCAGTCAGCCTAGTATAAGCAAAATCATCACTGACACCAGAGACGCTATATGCCAGCCTGCTCTAATTAGAAGGTTCATTAAACCCACACAGCGATCGGACATAAAAAGACAACAACGGTAGTTCCACGCTGTCGTGACCGCCTCCGTGGTGTAGTGGTTAGAGCGTCCGCCCGGAGAGCGGAAGGTGGCGGGTTCAATCCCCGACCGCATCATACCAAAAGACGTTAAAATATGGTACTTGTTGGTCCCTGCCTGGCGTTCGGCATTAATGGGTACAACAAGGACTGGTCGGCTCGGAGTCAGTATAATGTGTCTGAGTGGGGTATTCATGCTTCACTGCGGCATGGTATGTCAGTGGGCTAGCACTATAAAACCAGCTTCAGTCTGGGCTAGTACAAGCAGCCGCACATACACATATGCCATCGTCATATGAGCGAAATATTCTCCAGCACGACGTTAAACCCACTTTCACCTCACCTCACCTCCACGCTGTCGCTGGGTTTCCTGGCGTTGTTGGAGTTGTTGATTGCACCCACGTTCGTATAATAGCTCCAAGTGAGCACGAAGTTGAATATGTAAACAGAAAAACTTTCACTCACTCAATGTGCAACTCATATTCGATTCCGAGGACAGGATATGTGATGTCGTCGCAAACTGGCCAGGGGCGACACACGACGCGCTAATCTTGGAAGGAAAGTGGTGTGCGAGTACTTTTTGAGAGGGCAATAATGCCTCATGGTTGTCACCTGTTGGGAGACAGTGGCTATCCATGTGCTGACACCCTTCATCCACCGCAAACTGGCTAATCTATTTGCCGAGGAGAGTTCTGAAAGTCCTTAGTTACGACTAGTAGAATTTATCTGAGAGTTACTCTTAAGACTTAGCTAAAGGTTAGTCTAAGGACGTTTATAGATAACTCTAAGAGTGAACTTTTAACTAAGACCGATTTTAGGAATTCTAAGACCAAAACTACGAAAATTCTAAGAATCTTTATAAATACGGCCCCAGATGTTTCTTGGAGCTATGCTTCATACATTCATTTTAGGAATAAAATGTAAACTTTCTTGCGAACATCTGGTGACTAATTATCTGTGATAGTGTTATATAGCTTTTCCCTCTAAACTGCGGTGAAAAGAATATGCATGTTTCGTGGGAAAATCGAGATTGAGATTATATATTTCTGAAACATTGATTGGTTGTTGGAGACATGACTGTGTTAGTTGAAAGCAAAATTTGGTGTTCCTTAATTGCAGCAATATATATGATTGCAATGTATCGGTTTTGTTTGATATTGACCGGGCTATACATTTCACTCAGAGGTAAACGAATAATAATAATGCATGTCAATGGAGAACAAGAATACTATATACGTTTGGGGACTGATTTGATTCCAAAGATGAGTGATGTGAACTTCAAGTGAGTGAGTGAATGAGTTTAGTTTTACGTCGATTTTAGCAATATTCCAGCAATACCACGGCTGGGGACACCAGAAATGGACTTCATACATTGTACCCATGTTGGGAATCGAACCCGGGTCTTTGGCGTGACAAGCGAAAGCGTTAACCACTATGCTACCCTACCGCCCCCTTCCAGTGAGTGTTTTGATAATAGCAAAGGGGAGTAACCAGGGGCAAGGCTGAAACTACTCTTCAGTGAATTATGAAGGAACAGGGTTGATCCAGATGCACCATGTTTGATTATCTCTTATGCCACCAAAATGTGAAGTCCATTTCTGGTGATGAACGCCATGATATTGCTGAAATATTGCTAATCGCGGCGTAAAATCTACCTCACCCTAATGTGCACGTGGTCAGTCGTGACTACAGTGGTACACTGAAACATCACGACCGTTTGGATATCATTAAACATGACGTCATTATATCAACATTGGCATTTATGTTATAAAACTGTTCCGGTGATTACCCTGTAACAACGCTTAATTGGTGGTTAAGTTCGCTCGAGAAGATGGTTTCCCGGTGTGAGAGGCCCAAATCAACCCCCTGACTGGCTGCCACGTTGTTTGGGTCGGGGTTGAGATCACTCCTCGTTGGATCACAGCAATCAACTCTCGTAGCCCGGAATGAGTCCCGACGGGTCAAATCACTCTCCTTAATATTGAAACGTCTGTTGGATTGGAAGTTTTGGCGTGTATAGCGTAGCTACCAT